TAACCAATTGAGCTAACCGTGAGGAGGTTAGTGGAATAATTATGTGATGTTAACCCTCCCTGGGATAAGCATTAAAATATCCAGTTGGTCATACCTAGCATACTTCTTGTTATTGCCCTTGTTGCAGAGTTTGGTGCCTTCTTAACAATGTTACATTTAATATGCATATTATTTCACCCCAGTATTTCCACCATCGTGAACAACGTTTCTTCTACTGCTGTCTTTAACTTCACCTCAGTAACCGAATCCACAATAACAGACTTGTTAAAGTCACTTAACATCAGAAAAGCTACCGGGTGTGATTTAATACCTCCTAGGGCTTTGAAAGAAGGTTATCCCAGTCTCAGCCACCCGATCTGTTCTCTGATCAACCAACTGATCACGAGAAAGGAGAAACCCAGCACCTGGAAACACGGGGAGGTTTTACCGTCCTTCAAAAATGGTGACGCAATGGACAAAACAAACTATCGACCAATTACTATTCTGCCTGCAATTAGCAAAGTGTTTAAAAAAAACTTATGTCCCCAGTTAACCTCTTACTTTGAAACTATCTTCCCAGCCACCGTAACTACCTACCGAAAGAACCACAGCTGCTGTACTACCTTGCTGAGACTGACTGAAGACCGGAAAACTGAACTAGATTCAAACAACACTGTTGGAATGACACTAATTGACCTCAGCAAAGCCTTTGATCGCCTCCCTCACAATCTACTACTTAAAAAGCTTGCAGCGTACGGTGTCAGCCTAGAAAGCCTAGAGCTACTGGCAAACTATCTGAAAAACAGAACACAATGTGTTAGCCTAAATGTCATTCGTTCACGCACCGAAAAGATAAGGTCAGGTGTTCCACAAGGGTCTGTATTAGGCCCGCAGTTATTCAACATTTTTATAAACGACCTGTTCTACAACATTAAAAAAGCCAAACTATTTGCATATGCAGACGACAAACAACTTTACTGAAGTAACGCAAACGCGAGAATTGTACAGAGGATCCTAAATTCTGAACTAGCTGTGGTTTCAAGCTGGATCAAGGACAACGGCCTACTCCTTAATGCTAAGAAATGTGAATCCTTGGTCTTCACAAAAATCAAACCTCCAACGTAACCAAGCAAAAAAAGACAAAATCAGCTTCACGATTGATGGAACATCTATACAACCCTCTACCACCTGCAGAAAACCTCTTAGCTTACAAACCAAGCTTACACTATATAAGGCTTACATTCTTCCTCACTTTACCTATTGTTCCACAGTGTGGATGCACTGTGGAAAAACAACATCGGCTAAACTTGAAAAACTCAACGAGCGTGCTTTAAGATCAGTCCTTAACAACAGCACTAGTACCTATAGTACTCTACTTGAAACAGTAAATATGCCTACATTGCACAACAGAAGAGTCCAGGACATATGCATTCTTATTTATCAAGTTATTCATGGAACAACATCAAATCCACTTCGCACTCTGCTGACGCTTAGAAACAACTCACACAACCTACGTGGCGAACTGATTCTTGTACAACCCAGAGTCAACACTACTAAGCATGGGCTAAATACTTTCAGGTACTTTGGTCCAAAAATCTGGAACTCTTTAAATAATGACTTAAGAACTTCACGAACACTAAAAGAGTTTGTAACACGTATCAGGAAAATTACTTTTGACGTATGTAACTGTACCCTTTGTAGCTCTTAGACTTAATGTAATTTTTACTCTGGATGTAGTTTTAGTATCCTATCTTTTCAGTAGCATGTATATAGCTATATTAGTGTATTTATAATGTTATTAACTGGTTGATTAATTAATTAATTAATTAATTAGTTAACCTTATATTTTACTTATTCTGGACTTTTATTGTAACTTTTTAGTATTATGTTTCATTTATTTTCTACTCGATTCATTAGCTATCTAAGCTAGGTGCCTGACAAGCTCCATAAATTTCGAGTATAAATAAATCTACAATCTACAATCTACACTGAAAAATGTAGTCAGAAAACAATGGCCAGGAGTGCTCTGGTTTTTTTTACTAAATTTGTAACTAAAATTTTATTTGTGGATAACCTCTAAACTATGTAATTGGATCCTCTGTGAAATAATCTACCTTTGTAACAATTTCCCCAAAACTCACTTCAAGGGGATTTTTCCCTGACAAAAAGCGCCTTTTTGCGGGGGAGGGGGGGGGGTGGAGGAAGGGGTAGACACAAACGAATACTCCATCATTTTATTCCGCCCCCTCTTTACTAAGCTGGAGAAATTTTTCTGTAATTAAAAAATACCGTATTTACTCGAATGAGCGCCGCCCTCGAATAAGTGCCGCATCTGGGACAAAAAAAGTTAATAAGCGCCGCCCTCGAATAAGCGTCGCACCCCCGATGCGGCGCTTATTCGAGGAATTCCTTATAACCAGGAAAAACGCTATAAAACAATTTTAACAAAGCCTCGGCAATTCATATTTCTTAAATGTGATGTTCTTTAGTTCAAAGTAACTGTATTTCTCTGCTCGGGTTATCATGAAACGCTCGGGATTTTTCACCGCATGAATTTTTCTCGTAATTCTAGATTTACTATCAGTTTAGCATCAGTACATAGGAAAATTGACAGATAGAAAGGGTACCGTTGAATAATAATATAGAAAAAGTAAATTGGTCTGGTACAATTTTTAAATAAGCGCCGCCCTCGAACTGAAGCGCCTCACTTGTGGCGCGAAAAATTAAATAAGCGCCGCGGCGCATATTCGAGTAAATACGGTAATAAAAATAAAAAAAAATAATTTATGCCATGAAGCTTTTTGGAAAAGTCATCTAATCTCGAGCTCGCAACGCTTAAATTGCGTGTACTGCAATATTAAGACATGCGTTACGAGTTGTGTGACCACTCAAGTAATTTATGTATCGTTTCCTGAAAATTCAATGATTCCCGGATTCAATTGTTCACGGTAACTTTGCATAACTAAAAAGGCATGGTAATATTATTCTGTTCTGCATATAAGTGACCGGCTGTTCTGGTAAAGGAAGATGTCTTCACCGAGAAAGCTCGAAGAAGCGTTCGACTTACCCAGTGTTGAAGCTTTTGAAGAAGTTAACAAGTACATTAAAGGAGTCTACGACATACTGAACCAGGAGGCGAACAAAGTTCGCTAACTTATTTGAGCATGCCCCCTCCCCCCAATTCCCATTAAACAGGCCAGACCACATCACAGTAATCTCGTGAGTGGGTTCTTTAACGTCCCCTGCCTAACCAAATTAACTAATTAAAAGATGCAGGAGAAGGGACCTACGGTTTATTCGTCCTTATCCGAGAAGACTAGAATGTCTATCCATTTCTTGATTATAGAAAAGTAGTGTATTCTCCTCAGTTATTTTAAAACCTTGAGTGTTGGTCCAGCCGGGACTCGAACCATTGACCTTGACCTCCCGCACAAAAGTCCAGCGCTCTAACCAATTCAGCTAACCGGGAGGCGGTTAGCTGAATAATTATATGATGTTAACCCTCCCAGGGATAAGCATTAAAATATCCAGTTGGTCATACCTAGCATACTTCTTGTTATTGCGCTTGTTGCAGAGTTTGGTGCCTTCTCAACAATCTGTTACAATTAATATCCATATTATTTCTTCACTGAGTAATGTAGTCAGCAAACAAAGGTAAAGGAGTGCTCTGGTTATTTACTAAATTTGTAACTAACAGTTTTTTGTGGATAACCTCTAAACTATGTAATTGGGTCCTTTGTGAAATAATCAACCTTTGTAACAATTTCCCTAAAACTCACTTCAAGGGGATTGTATCCTGACAAAAAGTGCCTTTTGCGGGGTGGGGGGGAGCGGGGGAGGAAGGGGTAGACATAAACGAATACTCCATCATTTTATTCCGCCCCCTCTTTACTAAGCTGGAGAAATTTTTCTGTAATTAAAAAAATACCGTATTTACTCGAATGAGCGTCGCCCTCGAATAAGTGCCACATCTGGAACAGAAAAAGTTAATAAGCGCCGCCCTCGAATAAGCGTCGCACCCCCGATGCGGCGCTCCCTATAACCAGGAAGAACACTATAAAACAATTTTAACACAGCCTCGGCAATTTATATTTTTTAAATGTGATGTTCTTTTGTTCAAAGTAACTGTATTTCTCCGCTCGGGTTATCATGAAACGCTCGAGATTTTTCACCGCATGAATTTTTCTCGTAATTCTAGATTTGCTATCAGTTTAGCATCGGTCCATAGGAAAATTGACAGATAGAAAGGGTACTGTTGAATAAAAATATAGAAAAAGTAAATTGGTCTGGTACAATTTTTAAATAAGCGCCGCCCTCGAATAAGCGCCTCGCTTGTGGCGCAAAAAATTAAATAAGCGCCGCGGCGCTTATTCGAGCAAATACGGTAATAAAAATAAAAAAAAGAATTTATGCCATGAAGCGTTTTGAAAAAGTCATCTAATTTCGAGCTCGCAACGCTTAATTGCGTGTACTGCAATATTAAGACATGCGTTACGAGTTGTGTGACAACTCAAGTAATTTATGTATCGTTTCCGGGAAATTCAATTCTCGGAATCAATTGTTAACGGTAACTTTGCATACCTAAAAAAGCGTGGTAATATTATTTTGTTCTGCGCATAAGTGACTTGCTGTTCTGGTAAAGGAAGATGTCTTCACCACGTGAGCTCGAAGAAACGTTCGACTTACCCAGCGATGAAGCTTTTGAAGAAGTAAACAAGTACATTAAAGGAGTCTACGACATTCTGAAGCAGGAGGCGATTAAAGTTCGCAAGGAAAGGGAGACGTTCGAAGATGTCGCGAAGAAGCTTGAACATGTTCACTTCTCGAAGATGCTGAAACTGAATGTTGGAGGCCACCTTTTCTCGACCAGTTTGTCGACCATGAGTAAAGATCCAGGTAGCGTAGGCCTTGTATCTTACTTTACAAATACTTAAACTAAGAATAACTGACCAGTAAGAGCTGTTAAAGGATCGTGAAATTAATTCGAAACATCCAATATGGCGTCACAATGTTTCGAGTCAGTATGGGCGTCACCGAGATTGCTTGAAGATAATCGAAACAAGGAAGCAGTAGTCTGTAGAAAAGTAATTGACAGGAGAGAACGAAAAGCAGCGAGGATGGAAAAGAGTGGCGGAGGCTGATATTTAAGAACCACTGACCGTAAATATCGAGAACCCGCCGGCAGTTGCAAAATTTCGTAATTTATTATTTTTTTTTTTTAAAGGGCCCTTTTAATGAACCTTTTTCGAAATTTATATTAAAAAGTTCTATCGTGCCTTTTTTTTCTCCGAAAAATCGAAAAGTCTAAAATACGCCTAGATTGCCGTTGTCCCCCCCCCCCCCCCCCTGTAAAGCAATAGAAAATTAAGCAACTATGGCAACTTTGTACGCTGCAACGCGCTGCTATCTCGCTTTTAAATTTTGTGTGATAGCAGATGGTCCTTTTGTCTCTTGGAAAATATAAATGTTTTGTTATATTTTACATTTAAGTCTAAACAGAGTCCCGTTGAAATAAAGTACCTCGCGTCTTTTTCGCAGAGGTAAAATAAAGCTCAACTTCAGTGGCCAAAAAGAGTTCTGCCTTATATATTTATAAATCATAATATGCATCATCTTAAAGCTTTATTCTTGTATTTTATTCCTCCAATTCTCTATCTTGGCCCGCTATAAGCGGCGCGTCCAGGTTTAAAAGAGTTTGGCCTATTTTGTCAAAAATGCAATGCGAACCCCTGGACAGCTGTCACGACCCATTCAAAGGCCGAAGTTGCTTAGTTTACTATTTAAGTGGGGGAAAACGGCTATCTCGGCATATTGTGAACTTTTCGATTTTTTCGGAGAAAAAAAAGCGCGATAGAACTTTTTGATATAATTTTCGAGAAAGTTTCATTGAAAGGGTCCTCCAGAAAAAATAAAATAAATTACGAAATTTTGCAATTGTCGGCGGATTCTCGATATTTGTGGTCGTTACAATCTAGTCCAGTGAAAGAAAAACGATATTTTGTGGCCTCTGAAGGTGAGATGTTTACGTGAAACCTGAACGGTGAGAGCGACCACGTGACCTTGCTTTTCATACCACTTTCTCGCGTTAGCCTGTTGCGCTTTGCCGTTTCTACGTGGATATAACCTGTTTCGCGTTTTGTGTGAAAGTAAGACATTTTTCACTTTTTCTCATAGATAGTAGAGGTTTATTGCCGGAATAAGGGCACCAAAACTATTTCTTGTAAGTCAAACAAGTGCGCCTTCAAATGCATTACGACGTGAGCCCACGCGAAGCTAACGCAAGGTTCACGCTATTTTACGTAAAATGTGAAGGGGTAAGCTGACGTGTGCCGTTTCTCGTAAACGCGGAGCTAAATCTCTCTGCTGATTACTATCGACGAACTGTGAACTTGTGGGCACGATGCCAGATGCACAGACCATGACAGAGATACCTAGAAGATATCTGAATTTAGTACTTTCGAGTGATTGCTCGTGGGAAATCAAACTAAGAAATAAAAAAACAAAGCAATTGCTAACTGCAGCAACAGATTGAATAAAAAGAAAAAAGAGAAGGCTTTCTTCACTAAGCCATCCAGTTTAATGTTACATGTGGCTTCTATTTATCCAGGTTCTATGTTACACGCCATGTTTTCCGGAAGATTTGACTCAAAACCTGACGAGGATGGATCATACTTCATTGATCGAGATGGAACACACTTCCGGTACATCCTGAATTATCTTCGCACAGGGGAGCTTGTCGTCCCCGATGAAAAGACTGTTCGTCATGAACTGCTGATTGAGGCCAAGTTTTATCAAGTTGAAGGAATTATAGAGGCACTGACACCAAAACCAGTCTTTCAGGATTCAGTGATCCTATCGTTCGATCAACGCCAGACTTTGACGAACTGGTTGAAGGACGACATTGGCCCTAACAAAGTCATCGGTTATAAATTGTTATACAGGGCTTCACGCAATGGCTGGGCTGCTTCACACTTTCACGCTTGTTGCGATAACAAAGGACCAACAGTTACAGTGGTAAAGAGCGGAAATAACATATTTGGAGGATATACTGAGCATCATTGGGATGGTAAGATTTACCTCTTTAATTTGTCCTTTCCTTAGTTCTTATTAACCGAGCGGGAGGTCTGTATGGGAGAATCTTCACCGAGGTCGCCAGTACAGACCAAACGCAGTGAGGTCTGTACCAGCGACCGAGGTCCAATATTCTCCCATACAGACCGACCTAGCTCGGTTAATAAGATGTTTATTATGTGGCTGTGTCTAGAAAGCAAGGGAACATTATATTCTTTGTACCTTTTTTTTCTAGACCGGTCTAGATGCCGGTCTAGATTGGAAAATCTAGACCGCTTTCGATATTGATTTCAGCCAATCAAATTCGTGAATTCGGTCGTTCCCAGTCCTCGTGAGACGCAGCCATTAAATAAAAGGTAATAATGAGCCAAGCCGTAGCTCGTGAAAGAAACAACTGACACCCCACAAGGAATGACGTAGGTTTATCGATACTTTGATATATTCTGAATATATATTTACCATTAGAGGATACCCTGTCATTCAATGTACAAGTTAAGGTAGCTATAGCGATATGGGTTATGCTTGCATATCAGAGACGCTGTTAGTGGTCCATAACGCCTTGCCATTTTTATCTTTTTTTATGACTGGACTATTAAGCCTTTAAAACGTGTTTTTTGTTTTTTTTTTTTTTTATTCAGTTAAATCGCTCTCTTAAAAAAAACTTTAATAGCATAGATAGCGTGAATTATATTACAATAATCTTGAAATTTGGTTTGTTTTTAACCCTACATATCTACCAGAAGTCCAAAACATAATTCCCCCTTTCCTAATGAATCTTTACAAGTGAACAATCAATTCTCGATGTTCGACTATAATTGTTTCAATTACATTGTAAAAATTCACATTGAGAGTAATACATACCTTCTTGAAAGTTCCGAAGGTTAAGACGCAGATGTGAAGACACGATGAGATGCCTTCTGTTGAAACAAAAAAAAACCTGAAATCAACATACTCAGACCGATTTTTGATCAATGCACTTTTAAATTAGAATAAAAGAATCCGTGACGTACTCCATCGTATTTGTCTGGTACACGTGGCTTTAAATTCAATCGATTGAATGCGCTTGTTTAATAGGATCTAACATGGGTCATCGAAGAGCGCCGAACTCGTACCTGTTCACTCTTGTCAACACAAGTGGTCTGCCGCCAACAAAGCTTCCTTTATTAGCTGGAAAAGAAGATCATGCTATCGTTTGTAACGGCAGCTATGGGCCACTGTTTGGATATAATGGACAAGATCTTTGCATCGTCAATGCACCCAACTCTAACAACTGCAGCTCAAACCTGACCTGTTATCAGTGCCCATCAGGTCAGAGCACAAACTCTTTCCTAGCAGGTCAGAACTTCGGGGTGAGTGAAATGGAAGTGTTTGGGTTCTAGAATTGTGACTTTGCAATTTTTCGCAGTATGCTCTGAGACTGTCGTAAAGTTAACCATATTTTAATGTTTTTGTAATCCTATCTCGGCAACTGATGGCTAGTTGGTTAAATTACTGCCAGAATTTTGAGTAAGGACCAAAATTTAAGAGTAAATTGTCAATGCACCAAGTTCCAACAACTGCTCCTCAAAATTGAACAACACTTAACAATGCTCATCGGGAAAAACTGCTGACACTTTTTTAACAGGAAGTAAGTACTTCAGGTTGAGGTTAATGTAAAATTTTGAGTGATAGACGCAAAACGAGTTTTGCCTCGCCTAAACCGAGACTGGTTTGTAAACTGTAGCTTCTCGTTAATTTCTTTTCTACAGTTGCTCAAGTCCTTTCGACTTGAGACACAGAAACAAAAAAAAACTGTAGAAAAATATTCTTAGAAAATATGTAAATGCGCGTTTCTTTAGTTTGATGTATCACTGTATCTTTATTCGAACGACTATTAAATACTGGTTATTGAGACCTTCCCGTTGTCTTTAGCTTAGATGAGGGCGTGCGCCTATACATGTTCGTGGCTCTGATCAAATTCATATGTTTGTGAATCTTATATAGGCTAAATAGAACTATTGATATTTAACAATTATTCGCTGAAGGCGAGGTAAATGTTGTCGAATAATCCCCGAGACGAAGTCGAGGGGATTATTCGACGATATTCACCGAACCTGAGGCGAATAATTGTTTTAGTATAATTTCAGAGCTGAACAACAGAGAAATTTCTAAAATCATAACATTTTAGTAACATTTTTTAACATTTTATTTTAACATTTTATATAAACCGCGCGGAGCGGTTTATATTTACTCCTTATTAACCGAGCGGGAGGTCTGTGTGGGAGAATCTTGACCTCGGTCAAGATTCTCCCATACAGACTGACCTAGCTCGGTTAATAAGATGTTTATTATAAGGCTGTCTCATATGCCAATTTTTTATATTCTTTGTACCTTTTTTTTCTAGACCGGTCTAGATATCGGTCTAGATGGGAAAATCTAGACTGCTTTCGATATTGATTTCAGCCAATCAAATTCGTGAATTCGTTAGTTCCCAGTCCTTGTGAGACACAACCATACAATAAAGCGTCATATAAGGAACCGCTCGACCAATTAGATTTCTGGAAACTCTTTGCTAAGCTCTGAAATTATACTACTAATAAATAACATCAAACAGAGATTCTTTCCCATACCTTTCTTTCCGTTATAACATCACCTGTACTTCTTCCCTTTCTTTGAGGCCCCGGCACCCTGTATTTACCACAGCTACTGAATGTATTCGTGCTTTATTTTGAAATATTGGAAAGGTATATAACCAGGAGTTGGAGGGGGAAGGGGTGCTGTTTCTTTTATATTCTCGCACATGAAATCCAAATAATGCTCTCACGACTTGTGAAGCATTCTCGGCGGATTGCTACATTGCGCTTTTACATTTTTCGCTGTCACATTGCGTGTATTACAGGAATTGCCAAACTCTGCCACGCCGGTTAGCTTTGGTTCCCACAACTTTGTTGTTAATTTGGATTGTGAACCGCTAAGATATTTTTAAGATGACGTTTCTGGTAGCCCTTCGTCAGAGAAAACTCGAAACGCCAGTTTTAGGACATCTCCACGGTGGCCTATTAACATTAGAGAGATTTAGCACCGCGTTTACGTGAAACATAAACGGTAGAGTGACCACGTGACCCTGTTTTCCGCCATTTTTCACGTTTGCCGGTCGCGTTTTGCCGTTTCCACGT